CCCTCATATAGTATTTCATCCCCCATATAGTATTTCATCCCCCCATATAGTATTTCATCCCCTCATATAGTATTTCATCCCTCATATAGTATTTCATCCCCCCATATAGTATTTCATCCCTCATACAGTAATTCATCCCTCATATAGTAATTCATCCCCCATATAGTATTTCATCCCTCATATAGTATTTCATCCCCCCATATAGTATTTCATCCCTCATATAGTAATTCATCCCCCCATATAGTATTTCATCCCCCCATATAGTATTTCATCCCCCCATATAGTATTTCATCCCTCATATAGTAATTCATCCCTGATATAGTAATTCATCCCCCATATAGTATTTCATCCCCCCATATAGTATTTCATCCCTCATAAAGTAATTCATCCCTCATATAGTATTTCATCCCCCACAGTACTATTCCCCCCCCCCCCTTCTAGTAAGCCAAGTCCCCCGTGTCAATTCACTTACCTTTTGCGTTCCTCTCGCTGTCTTCCCGCGCCGTTCGGGTCTTCAGGGCGGACTGTGAGAGGAGCCTAGCTCCCCTCCCCTCACGTTCGGCACGCTGCCCCGCCTACACACATCCTGACAGCCACATCCGCAAGCCGGATTAAAAGGTCCGCGCGGACTTTTGGGGCTGCCAACCGAGAGGAGGCAGGGGAGCGGCCCGACCGAGAGGAGGGAGGGGAGCAGGCGCCCGGCACACAGAAGAGCCGCATTAGACTGGGTAAAGAGCCGCATGTGGCTCGCGAGCCGCGGCTTGCCGACCACTGGGCTAGACTAATCATTTATTCTGGCGATTGAAATGAATTAACGCTCAGGTGCTAAACAAAACTAGTGTTAGCAAGCATTTAGACTTGTTTACAAGTGTCAAGCTCTTTTTTTTTTGCCAAACCTCTGCTGCTCCTGGACGCAGTGGCGGTGGGTTTTTCCTCTGCCTCTAAAAGCTCTTGTTGCTAAATGCTGATAAAGACCTATGTATGCATGGATACATAGGCTAACATGCAGGGGAGTTTAGAGGCAGGGAAAAAAAACCTGACACCCCTAAAAACATCCAGTGTGCATAAGGCCTAATACATTCTCTGCATTAAGGTAAAAAAGCTTCTGTGTGCAGCTGCACCTACCAGACCCCACTTAGGCCTCATGCACTCAGGGTGTTTTTGCCACTTTTAGGGGCATTAGGCAATTTTTTTTACTTCTTTCAAATGACCCTTCATGTTATCCTATGTGTCAATGCACACATAGACTTTTAGAAGCTTTTAGTAGCAGTAGTATTTACAGCAGGAAAAAAAACCCAGGGCCAGTGCGTCCAGGAGCAACAGCTAAACATGCCTAAAAGTGCCTAAACGCGTGTTAACACTAGGTGCGTTTAGCACTTGAACATTGATAAATTTCAATGACCAGAATAATTTTTATTCTGGCCAATGAAATGAATTAACGCCCTAGTGCTTCACGCTTCTAAACACGCCTAAGCGCTTGTAAAAGTGCTAGATATTTTTACAAGAGTCAGGCGTTTTTTCAGCAAAAACGCTGTTGCCAGGAGGAAGGCTTCTAGGATAGTTTTTTTTAACATCCTGTGTGCATGAGGAGTCATACTTACTTGAGACTGATATTGATCCAGCGCTGTGCCCGAGAGCCGCAGCTCTCTCTGCTCTCTCCCTCCTCACAATTCGGATTAATAGCAGTGTGTCAATGACATCAGACTGACATCAGTTGTTCTAGGATCATCTAGAATTTGGTTGTAGCCGGGGGGACACATTGACATTGGGGCTAGTTTTTTCCAGTATGTACTTACAGGGCAGTTCGTCTGACACTGTATGTTTGCATATCTTCTTGTTCCTATTTTGTCGAGGCATAGGGGGTTATTTCCTAAAACTACATGGTGCAAAATCTGGTGCAGCTTTGCATAGAAACCAATCAGCTTCCAGGATTTATTGTCAAAGCTTAATTAACCACTTGAGCTCCTGAGGATTTACCCCCCTTAATGACCAGGCCTCTTTTTGCTACTTGGCGCTGCACTAATTCAACTGATAATTGCGCAGTCATGCAATGCTGCACCCAAACGAAATTTACGTCCTTTTTTTCACACAAATAGAGCTTTCTTTCGGTGGTATTTGATCATCTGTGCGCTTTTTATTTTTCACGCTATAAACAAAAAAAGGCCAAAAATTTTGAAGAAAAACAATATTTTTTATTGTCAGCTATAAAAAATATATAGTAAACTCAAAGTTGGTTATAAATTTAAGCCAAAATGTATTCTGCTACATGTTTTTGGTAAAAAAAAATCCTAATAAGTGTATATTGATTGCTTTTTGTGGAAGTTATAGCGTCTACAAACTATGGTATAAATACTGCAATTTACGTCATTTTTCTGCTATACAGCACTGCGCTAGTTTAACGGACAATTGCACGGTCATGCAATATGGTACATAAATGAAATTTACATCCTTTTTTTCCCCACAAATTGAGCTTTCTTTCGGTGGTATTTGATCGCCTGTGCAGTTTTTTTTTATTTTTTGCGCTATAAAAAAAAAGGCTGGCAATTTTGAGGAAAAAAAAACAATATTTTGGACTTTTTGCTATAAAACATGTCCAGTAAAAAAAAAATGCAAAAATCAAATTTAGTCATAACTTTCTGCCAAAATGTATTCTGCGACATGTCTTTGCTAAAAAAAAACCCAATACGTGTAAATTAATTGGTTTACGTGAAAGTTATAGCGTTTACAAATGGCGGGAAAGATACTGGGATTTTTAAGTTTTTTTTTATACTGATAATGGCGGCGATCAGCGAATTATGGCGGGACTGCGGGACTGCGGCGGACATTTTGACATTGGGGGGTACTGACTTGGGGTCACTGACATCCCCGTGATCACATACAGTGATCAGTGCAAAAAAAAAAACTGACACTGTACTAATGGCAATGGGGAGGAAGGGGTTAACTTTATTTAGCAGGGAAGGGTTATAGGAGTGAGGGGAGTGTTTTACCAGGGGGCGGGGGTGTGTACTGGGAGGGACAAGGCTGATCGAGAAAGAAAAACTGTTCTTTCTCGATCAGCTCATCCTCGAGCTGTCAGGGAAGTGACAGACAGCACAGCTACTGCAGCTGTGCTCTCTGTCACTGTTTGCCGCCGATCGCCGGGACATAGCCGCTAAGGAGCGGCTGTGACCTGGCGACTGACATCTGCGGCAGAGAACCGCGGGACAAATAGGGCGGCGGCGTGCCTCGCGCGCGCCCCCTATTTGTTTACAAAACACACGTCTTAAAACATGGTTTTGCCTGTGAGTGCCGCACTGCCGACATATATGTACAGTGGCTGGGCAGCATGCGGTTAAACAAGCTGAAATTAGAAGCAGATTGGCTACCATACACAGCTTCACCAGATTCTGAGTGCTCCAGTTTTAATAAATCTCCCCCATAGTAACTTTTCTGTAATCATATGACCCACCAGTCTTGCGAGAGTGTGCAATTCACACAAGTAACTGGGGCCAGTTCTCATTGCTTTCAGGGTGGGTGTCTTTTGTCTGCCATATTGTAATGTTGGTTTTATATCTGTGAGACATGTACCTTCATTATTAAAATGATAGTTTAATTATGAGCACACTTATTATTATATATTATAATTTTTTTACCTTAATGCACTCTATGCTGATGTTGATCCAGCACGTTGCATCACTGCTCACTCTCTTTGCACACTGGCTCAGAGCCATTGGCTCCTGCTGCTGTCAGTCATAGCCAGTGAGGAGAGAGCAGGGGCCAGGGCCAACCCACATTGTGTGTGTTAATGTACACACAGAGTATAGCTCGGGAGCAAGCCCGTATGGTGCCCCCATAGCACTCATAGGTGAGGGGAGCCAGGAGCGCTGGCAGGGGATCCAGGAAGAGGAGGATCGGGGCTACCCTGTGCACAACCATTGCACAGAGCAGGTAGGTATACCCTGTGTCCCCCTTCCCAGGTTTTTCATTTCTGATTTTAAATGTAAGTGGTTGCATGGGACAGTGTTGTCCAAATGTTACATAAGACATTTCTTTTTTGCTTACACATGTCTTAAGCCTAGTACACACGATCAGACAATCGTACGAAAAATACCGCTTTCAAAGCAATTGTATGATAATCTGATTGTTGGTACACAGCTTTTGTCTGAAAGTATTTGAAGGGACAAGCATGAAAAAATTTTTTATACGATATGAAATCGTACGATTTTAATTTAATCTGTACAGTTTTCATCCAAAAATAAAATACAAATATATTACGTCACTTCTGAATTTTTATTCTGTTGTACAAGAATTTTCGTAATTTTAATAACCTCTTCACTTTCGACATGAGACTAGCATGCAAAGAACATGGACAATTGTTCGTCTAATATCCTCATTGTGTGTATGGAGCTTTATGTTGTAGAGGGGGTACAGCGTCCTTACTTGCTCCTCCTGCAGTCCACTTGTCCTCCTTGCCTGGGAAATGGCTGCAACTATTACACCATTGTGAACTTTGATACCATGCTTTCTCCTTAAGTGGATGTGAGACGTGAATGCGCTTCTTTTGGGTTCTCATAAAGGTCATTACCAAGATTGCAATCAAATTGAAACATGTTAGAGGCACTACTTTTTTTATTTGACAAATATATTTTGTCATGGCAAATCTCAATGAAAGAAGTTTGTCTGATGATACAGGGTATGGTACAGACTAATATACAAGGGATTTGTTGTAAGCATTTGTGTACCCCAAAAAATTGTTTATTTTTATGATGTTTTTAGTGAAAGACATATATTGTAATAAAGTATGAAGCATTTAAAATGGGTTCTATACTGTTGGCACCTCCTCCCACTATTTATAATGAGTTACTTCTAAGAAAGCAAAGTCAGTCTCATGTAAAAAAAAACCTGTCAACACAGATATTAAAGCGGAGTTCCACTCACACTGTCAAAAAATAAAAGTCAGCAGCTAAAAAAAACTGTAGCTGCTGACTTTAAAAAAACAGCCACTTACCTGTCCCTCGGTCCCGTGGTGTGTCCCCCACAGCCCATTTCACCGGCCGTCCTGTATTCTAGGAGGCCGGCATCTTCAGTGTGGGCACCCGGCTGTGATAGCTTGCGGCTTCACAGCTGGGTACCCACTGCGCATGTGTGAGTAGCGCTGCACTTCATGAATGGTCCTGTAGCCTTCTGGGACCTGTCACGTGTCCCAAAAGACTACAGGGAGGGAGGGAGGGAGGACACCTTCCGTTTCCGACCGCCTAGGCAATCGGACTGGAAGTGGGAGCGGGTACCTGTCAAATTCGGGTACCCACTCCACCCCCAAAGGTGCCAATCTTTAATGGGGAGCGGGGGAGCAGTCCTTAAAACGGAACTTCCCCTTTTGGGTGGAGCTCCGCTTTAAGGATAACAGCCATGGAGTTTGTAGCTTAAAAATAGGTCAGCTTTGACAGATCCCTTATTCCTGTCCTGGTGCTTTATAAATCTGAACTTCATAAAAACAAAGAAATACATAGTTAAAATAAACACATTTTACCTGTAGCCAAAATATTTGCCACTCTTTTCTGCCACTCTTGTAATTCACCTCAACCTCTGGACTAAAGAGTCAGCAAGAAGACTACACTATTTCCACTATACCATGTATTTTAACTGCAGTAGTAAATAGGTAGGAGCATATATCATATTTATTTGTTCTAAACTGTTTTTTTTTTTTTACATTTCTTCAGTTACCTCTTGGTTTTTTTTGGTTAGGCAAATGACGTCATACATCCCAAGAGTCTCCAGGAGGGAGGAGGGGTTTTCTTATCTAAGCACGTCCTCCTGCTTGTATGTCTGAACTAAGGGCAAAATGGATTCCAGGAAGTCAACACTACATGGATAATCTGCCCTTACTCAAGATGGCCATGGCCAGAAATGCTAGGCAGTTTTTTTTCAAAGTGATTTCTCAGCAAAGTGAAGCATGTATACATGGATGGATGGGGGAGTTTGATTTGAATATTAAAAGAGAAGTTTTTTTTTTTTTTTTTACAAATTATATGTACCTAGGTGGACGCAACACCAATCCAGTGCTTCATCTGTCCCCGTCAACTCTAAAGGCGAGAACTGAGCGACCAAACACTGCTGATCGCTCACTTCTCCCTGCTGCTCTGAGTAGTGAGCAGTGACTGTCAGTCACCACTGTCTGCTCTGACCCTTCCCCCCAGTGCTCACTGGAGTGCTGGGCTGTGAAGGGGGTGGGAGCGGCTGGCTTGGGCTCTTGGCAGCTCGTTGAGAGGTTGAGCCAGGTACTGGTCCAGTTTCCTGGGTGGATCCCAACCATAGTCATGATTTTTTCCCAGCCTGGAAAGGCTGAGAAACATCAGAATGTACTGCACTCCTGTCATCCGTAGAAGAAGTAGTCAAACAAGCTTTGGCTGCACTTCTCCTTTGAAAATTAATTACATAGCATTTTCTGCTTTGTGGTGCTCAGATGCAGTATAGATGCAGCTCAGATGCAAAGTAACTCTGCATTTGTTGAGAAAAAAAATTCCCTCTGGCTGATTATTAATCAGTTGCTGCACTTGCAAGGGTTCTAATGAGGAAACTGGCAGGCTCTGCATCACTTTACAGTAGATGTGATTTCCCTTTGGAAGTATCTCACCAAAAATTACGTTTTTGTTCCAGGGGATGCCCAAGATCTGACTTGTATCTTTGCGCAGACTGGGAAATCAGAAAGCCAATCACACAAGCAGGAAATGACATTTCAGGGAGGCGTTTTGTACACCATCTCTGTACAGAATACCTTCAGGAGCCATACTGCATTGCATTATAAAGAAAATAAAAGAACTTCAGATTAAAAAGGAAAAGTAAGTTTTAACAGCATTCAATTACAATATGACTTGTGCAATTGTATATACTATATTATTTTTTTTTTTATTTGCTATTTTTTTCCCATGAAAGTGGAGCTACCGTTTAACATTCAGTGTTCCAAACATGATGATCTGGATGACCTTCCTGTTTTCCAATGGCACCATAACTTAGCTCTTTTAAATCATCAGAGTAAAAGAAATTCTCTTAGTAGTCTTTCAAGGTTCCCTGAAGATTCTCTTATACCGTGAGATTTCATGATTGCCCTGGAAATGTTCAAACAGTATGACAATCTTGTCTCTTGCATTGCCACCTTTACTTCTTGGAAGATTTGGAGTCATCCTTTACACATTTTGGCTTGCTATCAATGCAGTAATGGAAACAAGCTGATGAGATTTACCCAGTAACCTGACTGGACTTACCCCCGCAAGGAAGAATGCATCCAGGGCCAACCTGATAAACACCTATAATATCACTAAGGCTTCCCATTAATGCATTTTACCAGGAATAATTTTCCACGGTTGTGCAGTGTGACCCATCTCTGATTCAAACTACTAATTGTAGTACTTACCTACAAAAAATGTGGATTTATTACAAATGGAAGTGAATGAAGTTTGTTACATGTGTCACAGTGACTGAATTATCACCTAATGGCAGAATGATTATTTAGGTATCACACTTTGACAACTCAGGACTTCCACTGAGATATAATGATTCATACATGCTAGTCTTGTCCCTCAGCTTGTAACTATGACAGTAAGAATATTCTCTACAGATTTGGTATGTCAATCAAATAACATTTCAGGTGAATCGCCACCTACTTTTGTTGAGATGTGTGTGCGCTATGCTGCCCTACAATTGCATGTTTATAGACAAAATGTGGGAACTACCATTGCTACCTTTTGTTTTATATACAGTATATATATATACAGTGGGGCAAAAAAGTATTTAGTCAGCCACCAATTGTGCAAGTTCTCCCACTTAAAAAGATGAGAGCGGCCTGTAATTGGCATCATAGGTAGATCTCAACTATGAGAGACAAAATGAGAAAAAAAATCCAGACAATCACATTGGCTGATTTGGAAAGAATTTATTTGCAAATTATGGTGGAAAATATGTATTTGGTCAATATCAAAAGTTCATCTCAATACTTTGTTATATATCCTTTGTTGGCAATGACAGAGGTCAAACGTTTCCTGTAAGTCTTCACAAGGTTGGCACACACTGTTGCTGGTATGTTGGCCCATTCCTCCATGCAGATCTCCTCTAGAGCAGTGATGTTTTGGGGCTGTCACTGGGCAACACTGACTTTCAACTCCCTCCAAAGGTTTTCTATGGGGTTGAGATCTGGAGACTGGCTAGGCCACTCCAGGACCTTGAAATGCTTCTTACGAAGCCACTCCTTCGTTGCCCGGGGCGGTATGTTTGGGATCATTGTCATGTTGGAAGACCCAGCCACGTTTCATCTTCAATGTCCTTGCTGATGGAAGGAGGTTTGCACTCAAAATCTCAGGCTACATGGCCCCATTCATTCTGTCCTGTACATGGATCGGTCGTCCTGGTCCCTTTGCGGAGAAACAGCCCCAAAGCATGATGTTGCCACCCCCATGCTTCACAGTAGGTATGGTGTTCTTTGGATGCAACTCAGCATTCTCTCTCCTCCAAACACGACAAGCTGTGTTTCTACCAAACAGTTCTATTTTGGTTTCATCTGACCATATGACATTCTCCCAATCCTCTTCTGGATCATCCAAATGCTCTCTAGCAAACTTCAGACGGGCCCGGACATGTACTGGCTTAAGCAGGGGGACACGTCTGGCACTGCAGGATCTGAGTCCCTGGCGACGTAGTGTGTTACTGATGGTAGCCTTTGTTACGTTGGTCCCAGCTCTCTGCAGGTCATTCATTAGGTCCCCCCCATGTGGTCCTGGGATTTTTGCTCACCGTTCTTGTGATCATTTTGACCCCGCGGGGTGAGATCTTGCGTGGAGCCCCAGATCAAGGGAGATTATCAGTAGTCTTGTATGTCTTCCATTTTCTAATTATTGCTCCCACAGTTGATTTGTTCACACCAAGCTGCTTGCCTATTGCAGATTCAGTCTTTCCAGCCTGGTGCAGGTCTACAATTTTGTTTCTGGTGTCCTTCGACAGCTCTTTGGTCTTCACCATAGTGGAGTTTGGAGTGTGACTGTTTGAGGTTGTGGACAGGTGTCTTTTATACTGATAACAAGTTCAAACAGGTGCCATTGATACAGGTAATGAGTGCAGGACAGAGGAGCCTCTTAAAGAAGAAGGTACAGGTCTGTGAGAGCCAGAAATCTTGCTTGTTTGTAGGTGACCAAATACTTATTTTCCACCATAATTTGCAAATAAATTCTTTCCAAATCAGCCAATGTGAATGTCTGGATTTGTTTTCTAATTTTGTCTCTCATAGTTGAGGTCTACCTATGATGCCAATTACAGGCCTCTCTCATCTTTTTAAGTGGGAGAACTTGCACAATTGGTTGCTGACTAAATACTTTTTTGCCCCACTGTGTATATATATATATTTAAGACATATATTTTATGCTGTCAGAAAGAGAATTCCAGCACTTCCTGATCCAGAGTAATGTTTCCGGGGCCTACATGCTCCTAGCTCATCGGTGGTGATGATGCTGATTTATTGTCCAATTAATAGGCTGTAGAAAGAGCAATGATGTAGAAAGCTGAATCATTCAGCTAGCGAATACATGTACAATGTTGTATCATCTGCCTGACTGTGTAGTATGTAAATCACAGCATTAGCCAAACAGAATTACAAACTGCATTTATAGGTTTGTCTGGAGGTATCCTTTAAGAATAAATAGGGACATTCTAACTTGTACAGTGAATAGACCATATAGTACAGTCTGGAGTACTAAAAGAGTTACAGTGCCTTGAAAAGTGGAACCAATTGCCTTCAGAAGTCACCTAATTAGTAAATTGAGTCCACCTGTATGCAATTTAAACTAAGTATAAATACAGCTGTTCTGTGAAGCACTCAGACGTTTGTTAGAGAACATTAGCGAACAAACAGCATCATGCAAGCCAAGAAACACACCAGACAGGTCATGGATAAAGTTGTGGAGAAGTTTAAAGCAGAGTTAGGTTATAAAAAAAAATATCCCAAGCTTTGAACATCTCACAGAGCACTATTCAATCCATCATCCAAAAATGGAAAGAGTATGGCACTGCAAACCTGCCATGACATGGTCATCTACCTAAACTGACAGGCCGGGCAAGGAAAGCATTAATCAGAGAAGCAGCCAAGAGGCCCATGGTAACTCTGAAGGAGCTGCAGAGATCCACAGCTCAGGTCGGGGAATTTGTCCACAGGACAACTATTAGTCGTGCACTCCACAAATCTGGCCTTTATGGAAGAATGGCAAAAAGAAAGCCATTGTTGAAAGAAAGCCTTAAGAAGTCCCATTTGCAGTTTGCGAGAAGCCATGTGGGGGACACAACAAATGTGGAAGAAGGTGCTCTTGTCAGATGAGACCAAAATTGAACTTTTTGGCCTAAAAGCAATGCTGTGTGGTGGAAAACTAACACTGCACATCTCCCTGAACACACCATCCCCACCATGAAACATGGTGGTGGCAGCATCATGTTGTGGGGATGCTTTTCTTCAGCAGGGACAGGGAAGCTGGTCAGAATTGATGGGAAGATGGATGGAGCCAAATACAGGGCAATCTTAGAAGAAAACTTGTTAGAGTCTACAAAAGACTTGAGACTGGGGCAGAGCTTCACCTTCCAGCAGGACAACGACCCTAAACATACAGCCAGAGCTACAATAGAATGGTTTACATCAAAGCATATTCATGTGTTAGAATGACCCAAAGTCCAGACCTAAATCCAATTGAGAATCTGTGGCAAGACTTGAAAATTGCTGTTCACAGACGCTCTCCATCCAATCTGACAGCTATTTTGCAAAGAAGAATGGGCAGAAATTTCACTCTCTAGATGTGCAAAGCTGGTAGAGACATCCCCAAAAAGACTTGCAGCTGTAATTGCAGCAAAAGGTGGTTCTACAAAGTATTGACTCAGGGGGGCTGAATACAAATGCACGCCACACTTTTCAGATATTTATTTGTAAAAATTTTGAAAAGCATTTATTATTTTCCCTCCACTTTACAATTATGTGCCACTTTGGGTTGGTCTATCACATAAAATCCCAATAAAATGCTGTACATTTACGTTTTTTGTTGTAACATGACAAAATGTGGAAAATTTCAAGGGGTATGAATACTTTTTCAAGGCACTGTAAAATGCATTCTATTTCTTTATATGTCTCATTGCTTTAGGTGTAGCTTTTGACACTCACTTAAACTAATAATTGAAGACATCATGAATGTAAAACATTTTCTATTGGTCTCTTTTCTTTTGTGTATTCTGTTTTGTATTCTGTTCTAGCAATCCTGCACGCAATTAAGTAACAGGATGTGAGCATTAATGCAGCAGAAGAATGTACTTTTCCTTTCTATCCCACTTCAGTTAACATTCAGTATAAAGACAATTATACATTTTCATTCAATGTGACACAGTTAAACAATGCCGAATATCCAACCCGGTTATAAAGAAAAATAAAACAGAAAACAATAAAAACCTTTAACAGATCTAAAAGGAACTTGCAGATGTAGAGTAAATATCATGAATTAAAATCACTGTGGGAAATATTGGTCTCTCCAGAAGTCTCTGATTAGAACTCCAAGCATTTGGCAGAAACAGAACTAATATGCTTATATAGTATTTTATAAACAGTCTGTAGCAGTGGTGTACCTACCTGACTAACACCCAAAATGTTTTTTCTGTTTTCTTAACACCCCATTCTCTATACAACAAAATCAATTTCAGTAAACCTATGTTCACATCATGAATCACTTATGAATTGTCCAGGAATGAGCACTGCATTCCTGTATAATTCACATGTAATTTAGTGAAGCTCATTTTAAATAGACTCCAATAGCACCACATCGCATCACAGTAGTGCATGCACTACTTTTGGAAACATTGCAACTGTATTGCATGATAATTTTGTACACACTGCTTGCGACATCCTTAACATTACACTAGCACCCACCGCAGATCGTAAAGGCAGAGCGTTTTGCGGGAAACATGCACGGATCACAGGTTTTCTGCACCACTTTCTAGTGTGAACCAGGGCTAAGTGTCATAAAATTAAAGAAATGTTAATAATGGCCTGAAAAGAAAAGCAAGCAGTGAATCAGTCAGGAGTATGTAATGTACAGCACAGCAAATAGAGTGCAGCATTCAGGGGTATGTAATGTGCTGCACAGCGTCCATAGTGAGTTGGTCAGGAATATGTAATACATAGCACAGCTTAGAGAGTACAGCCGACAAGAGTATGTAATGTACTGTACAGCTTGCAGAACAGTGGTCAGGAGTATGTCTGGGAAATGCAGTACACAGGGTCAAATTTGTGGTCCATGAAAAAGTATCTCCCTATTCTGGAGGTCACCGCGAAGTACATACTTACATTAGTGGTCACTGAGAGCATAATATTAAAAAGCTCTATTTAGGACTAAAATTAAGTCACATAATCTGCAATTGTTACTATGGTCCTAAGCATAAACAGAAAACATTGTACTGCAAACATGCACTTGGGGTTAGTGAATGTGAACCGACAAGGACCTAAAGGACATGGGGCATTCTCTGGCACCTCATAGAGAAAAAGCGTGGTGTACCATAATTTAAATAGTGGGCAGGGTTAAAATATAGAGTGGTTTCAGTTGTCCACATGTGGTAGTCAATGTACTTATGTGTAGAATTTTTTTGTTCTGTTGTCCTTGTTGGAGAGATCGCCATGTGCAGATACTGCCTTGAGAATTCCTGCCATATGAAGCAACTGCCCTAAGAGAGCTTACACTTTGCATAGAGTGCCCTGAGAAAACCTGCCACATGTAGAGATTGCCCTGAGAGCTTAGGTTGTGCAGGATCATCATGTGAAAAGACTTTGCTGAGTGCCTGCCTTGTTCAGAACTGCCCTGGGAGTGCCTGCCATGTGCAGATAGAGAGCACAGAGAGAGTACCTGACATGTGAAGAGATTACCGACAGAGATCCTTTCATGTGAAGAGAGTGCTCTAAGAGAACCTGTCATATGTAGAGACTGCTTTGAGAGTGCCTGACATGTGTTGGGCTCCTAGGTGAGCCAGCCATGCAGAGAGAAAACTATGTAATAGCCTACCATGTGCATAGAATGCCCCGAGAGAGCCTGCAATGTGTATCGACTGTGGAGATATCGATCAATATCCTGCCCCTTCCAATTTTCTCATCACTGCAGTTGAAAACCAATGTTGATTTGACCTTGCTAATGATTAGAAAATTGAATAAATGTTTTTAAAATGAAAAATTTCAATCGAAATTCTGCTAGTAAATAGCCAATTTTATTATTTAGTGACGTCTCCTATAATACTGCATTCAAGACATGTTCAGCACCTGATATTTGCAGAGATCTCCAGCTGGAAGAGGAGCTTTTCTTCCTTTAGCAGTTCTACAGGTCAGTGAAGCTGATATTATGCATTGGACCGCAATAATTTCATCCCATGGTACCACTTTTAACAACCATAGGCCCAGAACCTAGAACATTTGCCAAGAGATGCCACTATAGTGAATAAAAATTTGATATGGATTATTAATTTATTTGCCATCCAGTGCATTCAAAAGGCAAAATGCAGACACGGGAAAGCAGCTGTTATTATAGTATGGCTTATATTTAATCAGTTTTGCAACATTTCGGTCGTTTTTTACTCATCCCTTGGTGGCAAGAAAATTAGGCATACCCTATTTGACATATCATATTAGTTTTACATCAGAGAACATGTGAGTAGTATACAGAACACATTTCAGATAACTTTTTATTTGTCTTCCACATTAATAAAATATTTATTGCAATATTTTTTTAAACTGATTTACAAGAAGCATTAAGCAACAGAAATAATTTTGTGCACATGACTAGTAGTTAAATCATTAAATAAACCCTTATAGCAACAGATTCAATTATTTCATTAAGTAGGATTCTATTGCTTATTCATTCATTTAAATTTCACTTTAAGGTATAAAGTAATTGTTTCAAATGTTTTCCTATACCCAGTTTAAAGAACAAATCTGATCACAAAAAACATATTCAATGTTCGACTCACCCAAAAGCTATTTTTAAGATATAGGTGGAGCATGATAGAATATGTCACCAACTGACTTAGTATAACTCTTGTTGGTGGCAAAATCTCACTGTTATAGTGCCCTACACTATTACCGCTGTCCTCAGGGTTATGAAAGTTACATTAAAAATGTTGCTGCTCTCATTTGCACCTAAAGGGCCCCTTCACAAACAGTTTGTTAAAGCGGAGTTCCACCCAACAGGGGACGCTCCGCTTTAAAGATTGGTCCCCTGCTCCCCATTAAGGATTGGCACCTTTGGGTAGTGGGGGGGGGGAACAGGTACCCAAATTTGACAGGTACCCACTCCCACTTCTGCTGCAATCACCTAGGCTATCGGAAACTGAAGTTTTCCTCCTACCCTCCCTCCCCGAAGTCTTATGGGACATGTGACAGGTACCAGAAGACGACGGGGCCATTCAGGAAGCACAGCGCTACTCGCGCATGCGCAGTGGGCACCCGGCTGTGAAGCGCAAGGTGTCACAGCCGGGTGCCCACACTGAAGATGCCGGAACCTGGAATACAGGACGGCTGGTGAAATGGGCTGCGGCAGGGGCAAAACGGGACCGTGGGACAGGTGAGTGGCTGTTTTTTAAAAGTCAGTAGCTACAGTTTTTGTAGCTGCTGACTTTTATTTTTTTACAGAGTGAGCGGAACTCCGCTTTAAGTATACATATGTTACGGTTGAAGGGCTTAAAATTACACTAAATGATGTTCTTATTCTCCAAAAATAATCCAAACACATCCACCATTTAATGGTCCTGTAATGTATCTTTTATTAAATCTTTTTTACTGTGTTTTTCTGCTTCCTTCTAGCATGCCCTTTTCGTTTCCAACTCACTTCCATTTATTTGAAATGAGCAACGCACGTTAGTTGTGGTCATGTGCACTGCTATATGCACACTATAAATCCCATAGTCTATAATCCATATTCCCTATTCCATTACAGAGTCACAGCAGGAAAGAAAAGGAATTTGGAGATTTAGAGGAGGTTGAGAAAAACAGAAAGTACTTTTTAAAATTATGTTTAAGGTATTTTTGAACACAGGTTTTTTTTTTTTTAAGCCAGAGTTTAGTGTCACTTTAAGGGACAGTCCACCCAAAAGTAGTATGGCAAATGGGATCTTTTGAAATAAGTCAAGCTTGTTATATCAGCTTTTCCTATATCAGCAGAAAGATCTTCCTACAAAAGTTCCTTGCTTCCAATTGAAAAAATTTTCCATAATAGAAAATAAAATAAAAGTCAAATAACATGAGCAACAATCTCTCATAATGGTTAGGGTAGGTGTGCCAACCTGGGAACTCAAATGAATAGATCTCACTGTCATCTGTCATCTAAGAGACATAATAAGCAGTTTGGTTGATTTATATCGCCACAACTATCAAAAACTAAAATATAAGTTCTTAGAAGACTGACCCTTCTAAGGTTCTTCAAATATGGCAGTGAAAATGCATAAAGTATGTACAAAATGTATTAGCAACTATTAGGTTTCTGTTCAGTGTGTTGAAATTTAAAGCCAAATGTCAGCTATTAAAAAAATAAATAAAATTAGTTGGCCTAACAGCTGTAAGAAAGCACAGTTTTTGCTACATTACTTACTTTCTTCCGAGTTCTGTCCCCTGTAGAAACTCCATGCAGTACCTGCAGCCCCACATCTAGGTTGAATGACACCCAGTTTCACTCAACCTGGAAGTCAGCACACAGACGTCATGGTGCCACCCTTTATAGTCCTCTGGACAGCGGAAAGTCATACCATGAATCAGACCACATGCACTGGCAGTCAGTTTATGTGTGCAGCTCCACACTTCCCTGTGGTACCTGCTGGATAGGGAAGGTCAGAGGTCATGTAGGTGCCATTTGAAAAAGACTTTCAGTTAAATAGAAAGGAGAATTTAAAATTAAAAAAAAAACATATTATGTGCAGAGAGTGGGAAGTAAAGGGAGTTAAGTGTTTTCTACTGAATGTTGCTATAGGGCATAGGACTTTGTGCATAGCCTCTGCACTTTGTACTGTGCACAAATCTATCTCATTGTGATTTGCTACATTTATGCATTTATGAGAAAATTTGTGAATAATGAGCATTATGTATTTCCCACATCAAAATACTGTATACATACTGTATATAAAAAAACAAGGAATGGCTTGAAAAACAGATATGATTAAATCATTTTAAAATAAAAATTAAAGTCCCCAAAACACCCTTCCTTATTGACTTATAAGATCCCCGTGGGTTGACAATGACAGTTGGGATGTTGCAATGTTTTTCCACTACTTTGTGCTCCCCCCCCAGGATCAGATGTCCTCAGGAAGATCTGGCAGTGTGACAGTGGCTTCGGTGTAGTAACAAGCAAATGTTACTGATACAAGATGGGTAATTGGATACGTTGTCATGGCAGCAAAACTTGAGAAAGCTTCTTTCTTGTAATCTATTATAGGCTCAGTTGTAGCTTTGAATATATTTTGCCGGATGAGAGAGAATTTGGCATCTCCCCCTTAATCTGTAATTTGTGCCAAAGTCTTTACTGCTAAGAGGAATCTAAAAAGTCGTTAAACGTGCTAATACTAAAAGCTCTCCAGCATCCTACATAGTACTAAAAGTGGTCCACTTTATAAATAGCTGAAGGATATATGATATTTTCTGCCCTTTACAATACAAATTGTCATACAAAAATTTATAGCAAACTTCTCCAGACTGTCAAATAGGACTGCCTTCTTTGATGTAAGTGTAATGAAATGTACTGACACCAAAATCACACAAGCTCAGATACCAGTACTTACAGATTACTTTGTAATGGTGCCATTTACTTCCCATTATCAACTAATTCATTTCATTTTTTAAGTTATTTTCCCCTCTTGAACTCCCTTTCGTAGCTAGTGTGTTGATGCATGTGCATTTCTGAGCTTTTTCCGTCCATGCATTTTTACTAATATGGAGTTATAAATGCAAAGCACAAAGCTAAAGTATAGGAACCTTTCCTGTGGTTCCTGGATAATTAGCTGTCTGGAGCATTGGTAAACATTGCAAACATATGCAAGCTGGGTGATAGGTAACGCATGTCTAGCCAAGCATTTAGTACATTCTTTTTAAAGAGGGCCTTTATATATACAGTACTATATGTTGGAAGGTGCTGTACATAACAATGATACATTACAGATACCATCTAAAAAATGAAGATCACTAAAAAAAGCTCTATGGTAGACCAGGAAATAAAAATATGTTACTGCTTTCCCATTTCTCCTGCTGATGTATTCCTTCTTCAGAAAATTAGTTTTTTTGGCCAACAATGACACAGAAGTGAACAGAATCTCTTTATTTCCATTTCTCAGGTACATTTCCATGGGCCATGCTTAGTTTAAACTATGTTGTCTGCCTAGACAATGGTCTGCTGTGTGAACTTTTGGTGTTCAACATTACTTCTGAATGTTACCATCTTCCAGTATGTACAAAATTCTCCCCTCTTTGTGCCCTTCTGAATTACTAACTTGAAACATGAGGATGCAGGATATAAATGTCTTTTTGTTTCTGACAGTAAATTCACTTGAAAGCATTTTTCATTGTGTTTTAGCAAACAGAAAACATGTATTTTCATGGGAAAGAAATGTTATGTCAGTTCCTTTACTGTGTGCCGAAATCCAAGAATGACGAGGTTTTTCTGGAGTCAGGATAGGTGGTTGCACGATTGGAAGGTCCATGAGCTGAATTGATGAATATTCCTCCTCCTACACAAAAGAAAACAATAAATCCAGCTTCAATTTTGGTTCATGCTATATAAAAACTGAATTGAATTGAAAATGACAGTAAATTATTTTAAATGACAGCTATGAATTTCTAACTGAAGTGACAGGTATTGTTAGGGTTTACATAAACTTTCAACACATTTAATTTATTGTTTAAGATTGTCATACACGGCTTGAATTTTGGCCAATTTTTGCTGAATTGTCTGAAATTCAAGATGTGGGTTGCCCCGTTGGCACCCCCCAGCTAGACAAAAGTCAATTTCAAAATCAAAAGGGCCAGGTTGAAAATTGCTGGCCAATCAGTGCTGCAGCTGTCTAAATACTATGGCTGGCAGTGTAGATTCCTCCATCCATACTGTTTGGCATGCAAGGGACAATTGATTATTTAGAGAAATATGAGCATGTATGGCTCTCATTAGTGCCGGACTTGCCTCTGTCTGTTGACAGAGAACTACTGTGCTGAACATGATGCATTCCTCAGTATTCATTGTTAAAGCAGTTGTAAAGGCTAAATTGTTTCTTCTAAAATAAAAAGATGTTACATTTACCTGCTCTGTGCAATGGTATTGCACAGAGCAGCCCCAAACCTCCTCATCTCAGGTCCCTTGATGGTGCTTCTGGCTCCTTCTCTTCTGTGTGTGCCCCCATAGCAAGCCTCTTGCTATGATGGCACACCTGTGGGCTTGCTCCCAAGCTGGACTGTGTGCTTCGATAGACACACACAGCTTGTCACAGCACAGCCCTGCCCCCCCCCCCACTCCTTTCTCACAGGATTTGATTGATAGCAGCAGGAGCCAGTGGCTCCTACTACTGCCTCTGTGCCTGTGAGGAAAGGAAGACAGCCCAGCACCACTGCACAGCGCTGGATCAAGGTAGGGCTCAAGCAAGTTTATAGGAAGGTGAGGGGGTGATAAAAATGCTGGAACATTTTTTACCTTAATGCAGGAAATGCAATAATGTAAAAAATGTCTTGTGTTTCCCACCACTTTAACTGGCAGACTACTGCTACTGCACACATTCCACCATGCCCCATTTGCTTTGGTGCTATGTGCCAATGTTATGAAATTTACTAAATCTGGAGCAGACAGAATCTAAAGCAGCTGTGTATGGCAACCAATCAATGTCTAGCTTTCATTTTCATAGCTTAATTGAAGAATTTGATAGCCTGAGCCCTGGCTGGTTGGACATAGTCCTCCCACATGATCATTGTATATATGTGGCAATGACCAGCCAGACAATGGTGCCATCAAACGTTGGGCTCCAGAGTCATTATAGCTCCCATTCCCCCTCTAGTTAGAGCTGCTAGCCACCTCTCAATTTTCGCAGGTCTAGAATATAAATTAGCAATCGCTTACCATTTCTATAGGTCCACCCAGAATAGCCATCTCTAGAGAACCCTGATAGACTGGATGAATTAGTAGAAGCTGTGTTGTTTGATCTTGTTGACTGATAGGAATCGGAGGGTGACTGATGTATGCGGCCATTATATTTTGTGTCGGCATTGCTCAATCTGCTCCAGTCTGCAAATAAAATATCAAGGCTTATTACATTCTTAAATGAACAGACATACATGTAGAACAAGACTCAACACATCAGCATCTCCTGTTTCACACATGCCATATTATATACTGTGCCTTCATTGTATAATATATAAATCAATGCAAAGATGTATCTAAGATTACCTAATTGAAATCCAGTTTACATTTATCATAGTTGGACTAATGAAAGCTTGTTCCTGATCAATTTTACTTTAAGGTTTTGTGCACATGCCTAATCAAATACTGTTTAGCATGTCTGATATATGAATGATAATATATCAATTCTC